ATTACTTATAACGTGAAAACTAACCTGTTATCATAATAGTTTAATCAGCAGCTAAACTATAATGTAAATGTATTCCGAGCCTTTAAAGATTGACAATTCAAATGTACTTTGACCATAAACGAATGACGAAAACCTATATCGTATATCCGGAAAATTTTCTGATTTTCAGGAGTAAAATGCTGACTGTAGGCAAAATATGCATCATAAACAAAAATTTGCAAAAAATAGAGGGAAAAAGCATTGTGCAAGACGGTAATAACCATAATAACTATATAATAACATTAACAACGATAATAGCAATAATGATAATAATGATAATAATAATAATAATAATAATAATAATAATAATAATAATAATAATAATAATAATAATAATAATAATAATAATAATAATAATAATAATGAAATAATAAAATGATAAAATAATAATAATAATAACTGTAATGGATAATGAAGTAATACGAGGAAAGAGAAGTAAATGAATTAATAGATAATTTTCATTGCATAAATTCGTTGTTTCGTTTTATTCCTCAAAAGTCAAAATTAAAATTGTTCAACAAATAACCGGATTTGGTAATGTTATTCACACATTTCATACAACGTTAAATTGATGATAGCTTCAATGAAAAACAACTTTTTTTCTCGATTGTAATGAAAAAAATAATAAATTTTTTTGTAACTTTTCATTTTTACAAGAAAAAAAGCAAGAAATTCCACGGTAACAGAGATATTAAAGAATATTTTTGAACACTTTGTCAAATTATCTGATAGAGTGCGCAGTAAACGAGTTAAAAGGTACAAAAGTTTTGAAAAAAAGTCCTGCTTTCAAAGATTACTCGTTCAACTTTGGGCGATATTTATTGAACATTGAAGATTGTAGTATCTATCATGTGAGAGGATTCATGGGGAACCTTGTATATGTTGGATAGTGTGATAAAAAGTAAATACTTCGATTTGATTCAAAATGACAAATTAGATATTTCCCACTTAATTGCATGCAAGTTTTATCTAATATAGAAAGAAATAAAAAAAAACTAACTGAAGTAAATGATAGTTTATCATTCTTAAAGAAAGTAAATATGACACGAATCTTTCAAATTATTTTAAATTAAGCCCCATGTGACAGATTACATGTAATCGTCCATCGACGAAAAAAAAATCGTTGAAATAATAATGAAGATTATTATTTAACGAATGAATTAAAAGTATTTCTTGAAACAAAGAAAAGTTAGAGATATGTGATGAAGCATTATGTGAAGAATTCTGTGGAATGTTATCATCGCTGGAATGATGATAATGACGATGATAATAAAGATGACGGTAATGATATCTCGACCTGATTATTGATAATCTTTACCAATACAAACATTCTCTTCATCTTTCCTTTTATTTTCGTGCTTTCCACGATTACATCATCGTTAATTATCTTGAGGTAAAAAAGAGTCAAATATAAAGCGAAACGAAAATCCCCAACGTCATTATCATATGTTTATTCACATCACTGACAAAACGATTCTCCTTGACCCCTTCTCCCTTAACAGTTAATAAAACTAATTTTTTTCTTCCTTCCTTTATTCCATTCTCTCTCACCCTTGTTCTCTCTCTCTCTCTCTCTCTCTTTCTTTACTCTCCCTTACAATTAAATTAATTGTATGATATTATTCATTACCAGACAGTGCAGTTATTGAAAGAATAAACTTTGGAAATGATGAAAACAATTTAAATGTCGGAAAAAAAAAAAACATAAACTGATGGAATGGATGAATGGATGAAGAGGTGGATGAAATGAATCGATAGATGATTTATGGGGAAGAGGAAAAATATGATCAACGAAAAGGAAATTAAAAGTGATTGGAACATGAGAGAAAAGGAGAAAGAGAGAGGAAAGAATGTCCTCTCAGGTAAGTTATACTTCTTTAAATTATAACCTGAACAATAACAGTTCGAACTAATTGACTGTGTTAGTGAAATTTTTGGTTTGTTTCATTTTCAACAAACTTTTCAACCATTTCGTTTTTTATGAGAATAGATATCAGTCTTATAACAGTATGTTCTGATCATTCATTATCAATAATGGAAATCAAATCAAGAAACTTCTTGTCATGCAGAATATGTCAACAAGGCTTGGTATTTCAAGTTCCTAACTTTTTCATTACTCGATTGAAATTTGCAAATTGTTTAAATAAAATAATGAGCTAGTAATATTGATAATCAGATAATTACAAGTGGAAATTTGAAAGGCAAAAAGTGGTGGAAAATTTGCTAAATTCGAAAATCAATCGTTGTCATGTATAAAATGGAGTGGAGAGAAAAGAGAGGAGAGAGAGTGTGTAAAAGAAGAGAAAAAGTATTAATTATTCAAAGCAGTGTAATCTGGAAGTGCAGGGTTGTTTTCCTTTTTTTGTTTAGGCTCTACAAAAAAAATGAAAATGATAGATGAGTTTTGGGTGGGAGAGTAGCATTGACTGTCATCCGATTGAACTTACTAATTCGTTGTCGTGGAAGTGATACGGCCAATAAGAGTTGTGATGTTTTCAAGAATACACTTACTAATAGCAATGTTTTTTTTAAATTAATTTCCTTTTTTCTCTTTTCACTTGAAAGATTCAAAAATCAATTAACAATTGGATAGGAAATGATAAGAAAAAGATGTTCATAAGTTTTCAAACACACTGTAACATTCGGCAAAAACAACGAGTTACTTTGACAAGAAGAAGCATTCCATGCTTTTTAAGCTTCCTCTTTCTGAATAACAATATCCTGGTTTTTCTGGAAAATCTTACGGGAGAAGGAAGTTACAGGTGTACCTGGTTTATTGTTTTCATTGATATTTTGCAAAAGTCAATTTTGATTCCGTAATTTAATTAAAGATAACTTTGCTCGCCTTATTAAAGATTATTTCAAATCTTTAATCCAGTCTATACGATCGTGTTCCGAATTTAACGCGACTCTATGGTACCTCTTATGTGGTAAACCTTGTTTGATCCCTCAATTATAACAACTTATATTTTAATTGGCAGTTCCGTGAATAAGGTTTTTAAAGGAATTTATCCATATAAATATGAATAAGGTGAAATAACAGGAGTGTTATGGAGACCAGAAAAAACCTGTTAGATATATTTCAAAAAAAAAGACATATTCTGTGATATACAGTGACAACTGGAAAGGTAACAGTGAAAAGGTGACAGTGAATTAACTGATTTCATCATAATTTATCATTTTATATTGTATTTCGTTGATTCAATTGAACGCTTTTGTTTTTCATAGCAATAACTTATTCAGACATCAAAAAAGGAAGGTTATGTGTGTAATTATCAGGAAATCAGGAAGTATCCTAATTGTGAAGAAAAATTCAACATAATTTAGATAAACAAACAACCAAAAATGATCATATGAATAGAAATGTTTGAAATAATTTCGTCAACAAATAGCCGGTTTGCTAACGTTATTGTTGTTTCCAGAAGTTAATGAACAAACAATGAGACAGGTTTCATTTGGGAAGCATCTTTTATTATTTGAATTATCTATATGGAGTTTGTTCGTTTCCTTTGTTAAATTTTTATTTGGAAAGCGAAAATTAATTTAAATTATGGTTTCCGTGAATGAACAGAGCTTAGTCTGACGATAATTTGGTGACTCAAATTTGAATGATTTATTCCTATTAAAACTCCTAAAAAAGTAAAATACGCTGAGAAAAAAACTTCAAAAACAAATAGACTTTGATCAATTAACACTAATTTGTGCCGAAAATTGAAATCGATTTTAAGAAACGATAATAGTTTATTTCAACCATTGAACAGGACGATAAGAAAAGAATGCGCCTTTTTAATGAGTAAAGTTGTTGTTTCTAGAAATATGTGCACTTAAAAACAGACGACAGATAGTTAGCAGGAAGAAGTAAAAATATATTTGTCAGGAATGGGATGATAACACTGCATCGATGGATCATTGCCAAGAAAAATTTATTTTTCAAATTTCTTAACCTTGTCATATTCCTTTTATTTAGATTACCACACTCCTTTTGCTTTCACCATAAGGGGCCAACTAAGCTGTTAACGATGATGATAATGGGATGATAATTTTGCTCAATGAAGCATTTTCGAAAAAAAGTTTGGTTTTCAAATTTAGTTTTCAAATTTCTTAACTTCGATATATTCCCTTTACTCATTCCTTCATCCATTCATTTCCAACTACTATTCAATGGTTTCAAATTGCTCCTCAAAATCGCTTCTTGCATTTTCAAAATTATTTCCATCCAAAAATTTTCAAATTACCTGCATATCATGCATTTATCAGAACGAAAAATTGTGATAAAGTGGTCAATTGTTTCGTGAAATAAGTGAAGAAAGTTGAAATTATTTAAATTAAATCTTTTTTCTTGTTTACCCATAGGTAGAATACTTTATTTGTCATAGTAAAGAGAAAGAGAAATTCCCGATTTTATCAAAATTCCATGCTACGCTGGAATATGAAATAAGATTTTGACGTGATGGAGATTTAGTGCAAAGGAGAAACTGAAGAGAGCTCAAATTGGGACAGAGAATCTTGTAGTTTGGAAAATTTGATATGATTTGTTATAGTAATACCATTATTTTTTGTGAAATCAGTATTTATTAATTGAAAAAAACAAGAAAAAGTATTTTCCAGTTTAATTCTATTCGTGTTCTTCGGTAATTTTCCAACAAATTCAATGATATTTACGTTGAAATGGTTGTAATTAGGATAGTGAAATGTTAAAAATTCAGTAAATAATTCTCGACATTTACACTTATCAGTTTAATTATCATCCATCTATACATATAAATATTGACAATATCAACAGTAACAACAGCAAAAATAATGCAAAAACAACGATAAAAATAAAAAGAAATTAACAGTAGTACACAATATGACACAAATTCATATATTTCAACATAAAATAATTATAATAATAATGGAATTTAACCTTAAACTGAATTATGCAAAAATATTCTGAGATAATACATGGATTTAAAGATAGTGATCAAAGTTTCAATAATGTATAAAACTAAAGTCATAGAGTTCAGCTCATCAATATGTTAATTTGATCAGATCAGAGAATGCATGACAACATCCAAGCGATAATGTTTGCTGCAAATTAACAAATTATTCAAAAGAGGTAATTTTATTTGCATCAGAAAAATTTCTAAACTTTATGCTTTATTGAATGAAAGATTAATTTGAGTGTAAGCCCGATTTTATTGCTAAATTTTTGGTCATATTTGAGAAAATAACAAAATCTATTTCTAATCTTTTTCTTACCTATCATATAGGAAAAAAAGAACAAAACGAAGTTTGTCATCCGATGTTTCTGAATAATAAAAGTAATCACAATGATAAGTTCTGATACAATGATTAGTAATATTTCGAAATGGAAAGGAAATGATAAAATAAAGTTAAATTTTGAAAAATCTTCTTAATTTTCTCTTTTCCACTATCTTATTTGTTTTCATTCTCAAAAAATAAAAATCATCCAATATTCCATTGTGTTATAGAAAAGATCCACCAGTGAAGTTGGTATCATCCATTAATCTTTCCATTTTTTTCGATGATTCCATGGTGTAATACATCCAATAAAAGCAATTGAAACAAATAAATGATAATGGGAAAATGAGCTGACAAAGTTTATCAATCTGAAAATGTAACGTTTCATATTTCACCGCACTTATTGCAAATTCAGAAATCATGAATAGAGTCATAGGAATTATAAAATTTTTAACTTTCCTCCACTAAACTTTATTGATGATAAAAAGATTTCATCTGAAGATTGAATAAGATGCACCAAAAGTTTTGAAGGTAGAAATAACACAGAGATTATAGTTTTTCATTATTGATTTTAACCTCGTTTGAGTCTCAACTTGTAATTGTGCAAAACATTTCGAAATACCGGAGTGATAAATCAATAAAAAGGTATTGTTTGGTTATATTCTAGAAAGATGTGTCATCTGTATAGTACGGCATAGTTTTTTGCCCGAGTTATAAACTTAATAAATTCAATTTTATTTGAAATGAACGATTAGAAACCTTTTCGGCCGTCCACTTAGATTTTGGCCACTTCGATATATTTTCATCACCCAACGAATCACGATAGCAAATCTTCCATAGTTCGTCAACTTCGTTTGTATTCGCTGTTGCTTTGTATGCCTGTGATGATACCTCACGCCTGTAATATTTCGATTTCTAAATGTGACGAATCTCCTAATATCCTTTTGTATTGCTAATTTTCCAAAACAATACTATTATCATCAACCGGAAAATGTCCATTTCGTATATTCTGACAGCAACTTAGTTTAAAGATCCAGAAGGCTAGAAGATTGTACATTTAGAATCACGGTGATCCATTTGTAATATGTCAATAGTGCTGTAATCTAACTTACTTTGCGAGTAAATCAATAATTTATTTTGGATAATATTGAGATGGTGAAATAAGCTGCTCTAACTAGTTAATACTGGTCTGAACAAGTTTTAGAGCAAATTAAAATTGGCTCGCCCGTAATTCTCGACTTAACCTCAATTTAGCTTTCTTCCAACAGTGTCTTTCCCTTTATTCGTTTAGTTGCTGGCAAAGTTAATCAAAAAAATATTTGGAAAGTGCAATGAAGGTGACTAAATCACTGTAAGTGCTTTTACATTTGCTACAAGCTTTGCGTCACTGAGAAAAACAAGCTGTTGCGGAAAGTAAGATTAAGTATTAGTATCTAGAAAGCATCTCTTTTGTTTTGACTTAAATTTTTAGCTTGCCTTTTTCGGGTTTTTGTTTGGTAGTCGCATCTGATAGAATTTTTCTTTTTTTCAACTTTCTCCAATGTTTCCTCTTGGCAATCTTTTGTCATTTTGTCTACATGTCCAGCAATAGCTAATTCAACCAGCGAAAAAAATATAAAGCCCTAAAAACAATTTAGGCTATTTTTTCGGTAATTTTACGTAACAACGACCGGTTATCATTTCCAAATTAAATTTCTGATCGGAATTCGAAATGAAATTAATAGAAATACCATGTTGCACAAGAATTTCCTCAAAAAAACAATAGAATTGAATCAAAGAAGAATTACCATAGATGCAAATATCCAAACATCCATTGCTTTCACATAGGAAACCTTAGGTAAGCTTCGCGCCACATTGCCATACTAAAACAGAATCCAATATCACTTACAAAATCGGAGTTAACAAAAAAAGAATAGGGCCAGTTTAGTTTTAATAATAGTCTAACTGTTACATTCTCATTAAAATAAATTTGTATGCTTAAAATAAAAAGACCTGAAAAGTAAGCGCCATCAGTGAAGATACACCAAGGGTTACCCGGCCTGGCAAGCATTTTGGATCGAGCCAGAACGCTATCCAGCTTAAAAAAATAAAATATTTTTTTTATCTTTTTGGCTAATTCTTACGCAATTCAAATTTACTTCCTAAAACGGTTATTTAAAATCAAAACTCAAAGTACACTAAAGTATCAAAACTACCAATTTTCTTACATTGAAATTTTTTTGATCCCAAATGGGCGAAAATTGGCAAAAATTAATTGACCGGAAATAAAATTTTGGTGATTTAAGAAGTTTGAAAGATTTAGCCTAACATGTTTGAATACTGGCCTTAATTTCTTCGAAATTCCATAGTTGTTTTTAACATGAATTTATTTCTATTTCGATTTCTACCAGTATTTGCTGATTTTAAAAGAGGTATTGTGAGAAGCAACACGTTCAATCCTTGTAGTTTAATGAAAATTGAAGACAAAAGTTAACAGTTCAGATCTAATTGAATTCATCTAAATTCTTAATTTCATTGGGTACAATTCGAATATTTCTTGTAATAATTATAGATCGGAAAGTATGATGTTTCTGTTAGTCCCATCAATTTTACTGCAGGAAAAGAGATTTTTTTGTGTGGTTTGAAAAAAGTTGTGGATTACAATTAAATTTGATTTCTTCTTACTTTTAAATTAAATTTCAATATCCAAAGCAAATTTTGCTAACAGATGCAACTAACGGGTATGTAAACTTTCGGGACAAAGTATAAGATTTGAATTTATTTCCTCAAATTTTCTTTTTTTGGCAAGTAAATGACAACATCCGTAAAAGTACACTTGCACGATCTCAAAATTGGTTAACAAATTTTAGAAATTGAAGCAAAGGACAGAATCTTTTAAGAAATATCACTCATTGGTGCTTCAAAAACGTCATTCGAGATCATCCATTAATGGCCAAACATTACGAAAGCATTCGTTGAAAAATGAGAGAGAAAATCATGAGTGAAATATTTAAATTTTTCGTATATTTGCCGGAGTTGAAAGAGGTGGCAGTATTTAATCGCTGCACTGTTTCTTTAAGCTGAATAAATATTAATTTAGATTTTGGCAAATATACCTAATGAAGACGGACGCATACGTTGGCATGTATAGTTGCAAAATGTAATAACCGTAAGTTCTGCGAAAGTAAAAAGTTGCTTTAAGTTGATCCCATTGTCCTGCAGGATAATAAAATTGTTGTTTCTGCCATGTATATCGTGTCAGTTCAAAATCTGGCAATTTTCCCTGCAAATTATTAGCTATTTTTCACCAAATTATTAGTTATTTTTTTTTAAATTCAACGAATTATGCACACAATTTTGTAAGGGTCATAATAGATTGGCAGGAAAAAGGAATGATATCTTGAAATTCTGCAACAGAATTACTTTCATTAATTATTGTTATCATCGATTCCACCTAGAATGCTTATTGTGGATGAATTTAAGGAGAACTGATTATCATTCCAATGAAAATAATTCTCCAAATGGCACGTATAATAAATACAACTAAGAAAAAGAGTCTGGTAAATGACCTGAGAATCCCGAAATATATGAATTGCTGACAATTAACATAAACTACAACATCAGTAATGTGTCATCCTTTGAAGCTTGGTAGTTTAAAGTCAGAAAAAAGAGAACTTAAAACGGAATATGCGGTAATCAAATTTCAATACTCAATAGTTTGAAATGATCAATGAAGGACCTGCAAATCGATAATAACAGCTGTTTCAAACCAATCCAGTCGTACCCGATCAACATTAAAGGAATAAGATTCGAAAGTCATAGTACATCGTTGTACATCCATCGGGAACGATGACATATCCAATTCACACGGTGCTTCTACCTAACATCAGATTTTTCGGTAAATATTATAAGTAACTAATTCAAAAATCAATTCTTGTTATCAACAGGAGCATTAAAAAGTTGGGGGTTTTTCGCATCCTTTCTCATTCCTTTATATAAGTGTGATTGATTACATTCTCATTAATTATTGTTTGAACTGAAACATAGTTGAATATCAGCACATCTACCACATCCAGCATTGAAAATTTTGTAATGGAGAATTTGTAAATCGTTACCTTAACTCGATAATTAACCCAAATTGTACCATTGGGATAAATCATCAGAAATATATTTGGTGTTGGACTACTATGTATTGAGGTAGATTTACTATTTTGGAAACATACATTGGGTAACCAAATATCATCAATGGTACGATGGCTGAGCGTTAAATTAGCCAAACATCTGCAATATCTGCATTATAAAACAAATAATAATAAAAAAAAAATTGGAACTTCTGAAATAATCCTATTTTATTTTTATCCACGTAATATTCGTTAGAAATTTCCCATTAATGAATAAAAATAGCCTACTTAGTGATATTTTCAAATGCCAATCCAGGATCGAGCCAAATTTGACTAAAAAACACATCTGCAGTAAAACTAGCAGTCATTTCGGATATACTGGAAATAGCCTGAACCATCAGATCAACCTTAACATCAACACCTTTCGCCATTGGTACCGTTTTACGATCATATGAAAACATCAAATGCTCCAATACCGACTTGAAATGAATTTTTTTCTATTAGCATAAAATTTTGCTAAAGTCGAACTGAAAGTGTGATAAGGAACCAAGAAAAAAATTGACTGTCAGTTTTGTTTTATGAAAAAAATTGGACTTTTAAAAATCATTGTTTTCTTTTTCCTTTTGTTTCCACTGTTCTATTTCCCATCCATCCTTTAACTATTCCATCATTTCCACTTCCGTTTTCTTTTCCTTCTGGATAATGCTTCATTATACTGTCGGGTTACTCTGACAATAGCATGACCTCATTATTCAGGGTCAAACTGATATACAAGGAAGTTCCTCGAAATTTACCGTTTTGGTTTTTTTTTATTAGATCATAGAATTTCTTTATTTTGTAAATGAGCTGTAATCTTTTTTGCCTAATTCTTTTTTGGTTTCCATTGCAAACATGAATGCTTGACACATGAAGTACCAGAAATAACCAATGGCTAAGCTAATCTTGTATCAGCGGCTAGTCTTGTCTTATGTGTCCATAGTTTAAAAATCTTAGAATAATGTTTTACTTTAGCCAATTTATCGTCATTGTTCGCCTTGCAGTTCTGTTTTGCCATTTGTTTCAGTTGAAGTGCCTTTGACTGTGTTATTAATTTCGGTGTTGTTTCTATACTGTTAGCCATTTGAAATCGTGTCGTAACCTTTTCACGTTTTTGTCGAACTTTCGTCATTACCTTAAAAGTCTCTCCCATTACGGTTTCAAGTTTCACTTTTCCGTTAGCATAGTTATCTGATAAAGCATAGTTATCTGTTAGCATAGTTATCTGATGATCATCTAACCTATCCATAGAATTCTCTCCATTTGCCTGAATCTTCTAGGACATATGTACGTCTTATTATGCTTCTATTGTCGCTCTATGTGAGACAATTACTAATTGTAATAAATGACAAAGAAACAGCAAACAAATGACTACTCACCAGTTCGTAATCCTGCTCGGTAAGATGGTGTGCATTTACATCCGTAATATAAAGATATATCAATGCAAAAAGAGTGAGATATAAATCCATTTATCGGAATGCTGTAAAATATTAGTTGTGATAATGAGAATGTGATAAGTTATCAGTATTAAAGATAGAAAAGAGAAAATAAGGATGAACAATGTTGACTGTGAAGAGTGGTATCCATGGGTGATGAAGATGAAGAAGGGTAGATGTTAATGTAAGGAAAAAGGAAAGGAGGAAGGAAAAATTGTTCAACAAATTTCATTACACTTTTTTTCCTTTTTAGATATCCCATAATAAATCTTAGTAGGAGTGGCTTAGCCTTGCTCTTTGTCATTACTTTTTTGGCCAAGGATAACGTCTTTTATTACTAGAAATGAAAAAAAATTCGTTAATGAAAAGGTTGAAAATTTTCATTCTTTTCCTCTTATTGTTCCACCATTTTACACACAGAAACTGTAAAATTAAAATGTCATTTTCAGATCACAAAAACTTTTTTATTTAAATTTATTCTGATTAGGAAATGACGTTTGCTAAATGGGATCAGCGTATGACAGTGTAAGACATATTCATCACGTTGCAAATGTTTTAATAAAATCATATCAGAACGTAATTAACACTATAGTAAGTGTTGAAGACAATGTCACATTTGCAATGAAATTTTATAGTGGAGGCTTGCAAAGCTTCGATGACATCAGTCTATTCTACAGCTCTTCCACTACTTCTTTAACACCAGCCGTAATATCAACACCAGTTTCGATGTGTCTTCCGATGCTGCCATAGTAACAGATTTTGTTGCCTTCCTTATCAGCTCACACTAAAATGATTTGAACGGAAATCATGGAATGGTAGCGGTCGATCACCGAAAAACTGTGAATTAAGCAGCCCCAATGATTTGTCGCAAAATTTTTTGATTCAATCCCTTGTTGAATTGGTTCATTTAATTAAAAAACGAATACAAATTCATGAAATCTGATGCGACATCATTCTTCTTGTCTTGTAAGTACTTCCTATTCCTCACGATCGCTCAATCTTTCCATGTCTTCCAACCCTAGCTACATTAGTATTAGCAATGATGAATGAAAAACAAAGCAAGATCAGAACAAGTATAGATGCCTCCTTAAAATGCTTCATGATGATTGTCCAAGAACTTCTGCTGAGGATACCATGCAGGAGTTCTTGCATCATTGCACTTTTTAATAAATATTGATAAAGTTGATGCTACCTTTATAAACACTTATAAACAAAGCCTTCTGAATCACCTGTTAAGTTTGGTTCATTTTTGCGCATATTACTGGTAAAATCCCAAAAAGGGCACATTAAAATGTTTAAATTGAGATGACAAAAAATGAGCTTTTCAGCAAAGGCAAACTTTCATCAGCTGATTTATCGAACAACAATTATCTGCAATAAGTACTTTCAATTTCAGTTCAATTGGACCACAGGATCACATATATGTTCGAGTTATTTCCTGTGCAGTAAGTTTATGAAAGCTATAAAATTTACAAAACACCAAAACAATTCCTATTTGTTTACTTCCATTTCACTTTCTAATAAAGACCTGAGCAATTTGTGATGCTAATTGTTGGTTCAGAAGTTGTAATGATCATTTCAAGTTAAGTAATCACCGAAAGAAACAAACAGTTTCGAACAATTGAAACACTCTCCTAAAGTGTGGCTTGTGTGTTATATTTGATATTCCATACAGATTTTCCTTCTCTTTACTTTAACTTATATCTTCTCGTCAAATCTTTAAGTAAGTAACGAACGATTTTGCAAAGATAAAATCAGTATGGGCTTTAATAACGTCAGCAAAATACAGGATGTGATTAATATCAGTTGTAAAAACTGCTCCGATCATTTGCTGCCAAATTTACATCTTTATTTAGTGTCTCAAGTTAGATTCGTAACAAACTTTAAAGCTATATCAAATTATATTAGAATAAATTTTACAGGCGAATAATGCCATACAAGTTCCGAATCAAGATAATATTGGAAACGTGACAGGTGTACTGCTAGGTGATGGCCGGTTTTTATTGCTTGCTGCTGTGCTACGTAGTAGTAAAATCAATTCGATCACGCATAAAACATTCGGAGAATCAAATCCATTTTGGGACAATATAATTCGACTTTCCCTGCCATTAATCAAATAAATTGAGCATGGATTACTGTCACGGCCACATATAATCTCCCATCAAATATTTAGCAGTTTGAATCCGTCGGATATTGTAATAGATAGAGTGACTCGATCACCAGTAAATCAAATTTGTTGATGGAACCATTGATCAATGCTTCATGTGTTTTGCCGAAGAAAATTTTATCTTTTGAAATAGTCCAGGCCAGAATGCATTCCTTGGCCTTTTTTTTTTGCCATTAATCTTTCCATAGACCTCAAGTCGAAATGATAATGCTCATTAGTTACATTTTACATCGTTTAAATTAAAATTTCAAGTCTGAAGAGTAATCTATGAGGCAAAGGTGAAAAAATGTTATTAAAACTACTTTATCTGTCCTCTCAATTTTAATTGCTGAAAAGTTCGTTATTGAAATATTCATTCGACAAATGAAATAAATATTTATCAATAAATAGTTTCTGAGATTGAAAACTTATCTCAAAGTTAGTGCTTTGTCGTCGCATTTATCTTTCTCACAAATGACATCTGAAACATAAGTTAGGTGGAATAATGGCAAGATAACCTTATTACTTAATATCTTGCTATATTCATCATCACAACTAGGCTTCGCAAATGAGGATTTGGAAAGGAACTTACCTACGTTTGTTGCAAACGCTACAAATGTGGGTATATGCTCCGAACTTGAGCATGGATTTTTTCAGGTGAGGCAAAGTGTGCGCGAAACTGACCCCACCCTTTATTCCTAAGATTCATGTACCAGAGCCTAGCGAGTTAGGGCTATGACAGTGAAGTCCTTTCCATAAGTCGCCTATGTTGTAGTAACATCTAAACGTCACGGTTAACTAGTTTCTCAAAATTATGTGAATAGTAAAACGCAAATGATCACTTCAAATTTGAACCACCAAAATATTAAAGACATGGTCTAAAAACACAAAAAAAAAAATAAAGACATAATTCAAACAGAGTGGCATGAAATACAGCGAGATCAAATGACTTTTGTTAGTGATAATCAGCTATAAAAATTATCAATGCGTATAAACGAATTTATTATACAACAAAATTTAAATACATATTATCAACAGTTTTTATTATTTGAAGTTGTGATTGAGCAAAAGTAGTTAAATTCAATAAAATATTCAGTTACAAATCATATCCAAATAAGTTTAACTAAGTCATATAGGAATGGTTTTGAAAAAGAAGAAAGAGAGAGAAAAAATTATAATCCTTTAAGTAGAACACATTGGAATGATCATCAAAGATAAAGGAATGTGAAGAGAGCTTCCTCTTTTTTCAACAACTGTCATTCTCATTCCGATTAAAAAGCATGGCCGCATATTTGATTGAAAAAGTCATGCTTTTTTTTTTACCAGATTTTGACAGTTCAACCTGTTACATTTTCCATATGCTTTAATCAGGCAATGTGCAGATTACTCATCATTTATTTACTTAGCAATCATTCTGATACATCAATCAACTGATAAAAGGTACCATCGAAAACTGAATGAACAACGAGAAGAGATAGCACGTGCAACACATGAAAAAAGTAAAAGTAAATTCACATATTCAAAATTTCTCGCTCTTTCAAAACACACACATATAGCATTTACTATGAACCATACTTTAGCTCGGAAACGAGGAATTTCTCAGCTTAATTAATAATTATTGACAAGCAGACAAACCATTCTCTTGTTCTATTAGCACACATGATATTATTTGCATTCGAATTCAGCACAGCCCAGAAAAATGAAGAATATTGTAAGCAAAAAAAAATTTTATTATTTCCTGAAATAAGCATTGCTCAAGTAATCTTGTAATCATGAAATATTGGTGAAAATTAGACAAATTTATGTTTGAAAATTATCTGACAAAACAGATGCCTTAAAATAAAAATTTATGTTAAATAGAAAAAAAGATTTATAGAAATTGAAAGGGTCAATTGATTGTATAATAAGTTCTTTTCCTGTGAAATAAAAGAATGATATTGTTTCGCATTCTAAGATTTTCGTCTGGAATATTACATGGAAAGAGAATGTTATACTATGCTACTCTTTGTCTTATGAATTTTTTTTAATTGACTTGTAATCCTTTCTTTGAAATAAATGAATATGAATGAGATCCGATAAATGCGGCATATGTCAAAAGATGCTATTGCGTTTGAAGCTTGATACACGCAACAGTAGGTACCATTATGACTGATTTAAACGAATTTTGCAGCATAAATTATAACGTAATGGAATTTAGCGCAATGAGCAACGGAATCATTTCATTCTGCAAATGTAAAGGATCTTCCAAAAAAAACTCTGGAGGAAATGGAAAGACATATCCAGAATAATATACGGTGCCGCGAGACGAAGTCGGTAATAACCACTTTTTTAAAAATTTTGATCTTTATAATTTTTTTTTTGAAAAAAATTGTAGTCAATTCGACTTTTACAGATGTAAATTTTATAAATTTTTATCTTAACAACATTGAATGTAGTATGTTTGTAGTCAAATAATGTATCGTATTTAATGACGGAAACAAATTACAGCTCTCGTGGTTTTCTGGTAGCAGTAATAAAAATTCAGAATATTCGACTTCTTGCTTTTATCGCCTGCTGTAATTGTTTCAAGTTAGTTTTTTCATGTTCCTCAGTAACTTTGTGTATTTCAAATATTTTGTTTTTTTGATTTCTGGTAGATTATTTACTTGATTGATTTTTTTGCTTATTTGTTGCCTCTTTTTTCCCAATCATTATCAATATTTAGTTGCTCATTTTGATTTGTTATTTTCTGCTAACTATTATGTTTTGAAGTTGGAAATGAAATTTCACATAAACCGCTGTATTTATCTTACCCATCACTTTTTATAATAAATCCGGACCATTTTTCAAGAACTGCTTGTTTATCTGTCTGTTTTTTTTTCTTTTATATACCTCGCAGGTTCATTACTTTCATTCATTTATAATTTCATTACTGAATTTACCGTGGATACAGATCCCTTTATCATATAATTGAATAGTGAAGCAGAAGAAACGCAAATTCCCTTCATTTCATCAAAAGTAAGAACTTCCTCTGCGAAAACATTAATGTAAAGATCATTCCCCAAGTGAGAAATGAAAATTTCCTTCACTTCATCAAAAATAATTTCCTGTGGAGAAACACTAATGTAAAGAACATTTTCTAAGTTACTGAGATTCTCAGACAGCAATAATAGGATTATAGCATTACAAGCCTTGAACCTGTATGGATTTAAATTCATCGAAGGGTTAGTTGATCTCACTCAATGCAGCTGACTTAACCTCATTTAATCAATTAACATTCGAACCAGAAAGTTGAACAACATGAATCACCCAAATTGAAAATCGGCCATTATTAAATTTAGTAACTACCAGTTCTTTACCACTTTTGATGACGACAAAGATGCGCATTCAAGCTACCTGAAAAGTCAGCAGATGTACATTTGCGCATTTCTAACTCATCATGAACATCAATTTATGCTCATCCGAAAATCAAGAAATATGTGAAAAAAGTTAAGCACATTTTGAGCAATACTAACTTATGACAAGTACAAATTTATTTACACATTACCAACTTGTCACAAACATGCATCTATACCACTTCAAACAACACCAAATGTAGATTTGCACCAACAATGAACGGGAATACATACATTTGCGCACTGTTAGCATATCATGCATCTTTGCTACTTCGAAAAAAAGTGCACATTTAAACATCATTAACCAATCAAAAACGTACATTTGCGCTACTGAAAAAAATGACAAATATACACGTAATGCTTTTCATTAATTCACATTTGTGCTATTTGAAATGCTTTCTATGATTAAATAAGAGAGAGCCTGGAAAGAATTCAGTGTGAAACATACAGTGATGAGACGATGGAGGTCGAAAAGCGGAATTAGTACATCTCCCAAGTCTTCCGTCATCTTAGGAACAGTTCGAAGCATATTACAAGTTCTTGGAACGCGAACGGGATCTGTAGCAGGATCTTGAAAATGAAAGCCGGTTCGTACTCGCCCCTTCGAGCGCCAACAACGAGCGAAACAGGGAGATTTTCAGAAGGATGAGCCAGTTCGACACTGGTTCACGATGAAGGAGGTTCAGAAGAGAAAGAGATGGCGAAGTGAAGGCAGATACCACACCAGCTATTCCTTAATAAGGAAGGTGTGGATGTGGCATCAGATTGCTGGCAATAGTTCCGGAACGCAGAGAAGTGGAGACGGTTTGCGAAATCCCATTAAGTTTTATTTTGATTGGCGATGGCTCTTCATTCTAAGGAATGGAGCTCCATTGTGGCTGTAATTTCGTCAACGATGCTAATGTGCGGCATATCAACGAAGTGGCTGCATTTCTGACG